CTGAAATCTTTAAGTTGTATGTGGGCAGAGTAAACTCCTTTGAAATTTCAGCTTTCTAGTTTTTTTAGTCCCAAATTTGGTTTGACAATGTTCACGTCAAAGTTTTCACTTGTTCAGTACATAAGAATGATAAGTACCTGGAGCTGAATTTGAAAACTTTTGGCCGTAGATGAATGTGGAATAACTCTTTAAAATTTCAGCTTCCGAGCTTTTCTCACTCCCGATATAACAGTCTTCCTGCCAAAATCTCCATGTGTCCGTATGCGAGTCGCAAGCATGCGTGAAAGTTGAACGAATTTTGCTTTTTCTGAGACTGATGTATTGATACCCTCTACGATTTGCCCAACATGCTTTACTAATAATTACTTATCAGTGATTTATATTTTATTCCTTAAGAAACTTTTATCACAAAATCCTGAAACAGCTCTTCTATTCCTTTAAAAATCTTGTCGATAACACCGGAATTATATCGAAATGCGCATGCTTTCATTGTTCATTACTCAGTCTTTTCTTCTGACGTATCAGCCGTTTAACTCTGGTGTATCAGCCATTTAGATTAAACTGTTCAATATGAATTCGCCGAATAATCACAAGAGTGAAGTGATATGGGTCCTGAGCAATATTGCTGCCGGATCGCCAGAACAGATCGATCTTCTGTTTGAAAATGCGAATGTTATTGAAATGCTCGCTGATGCGTTTGAATGTGGCGATCATCGAATGCGTAAGGTAGCCTTGGCCAGTGTTACTACTTTAATTTATATGATTTTGCAAAACTTTGACTAGCATTGTTCGAGACAGAAGCTTCACTGTCATGTCATCTATTCGGAATTGTTAGTTTCTTCGACGGATCGCAAAGCCGGTAGGCTGTAGCAGCACGTTTGGTAGTTGGACAAGCATAAATAATATGCTATTGATGAAACAACACCTTAGTTTGGGTCACTATTCTGTCAGAAATCTGTGGCAGCTTAATGCTCTGATATTCACTTTCAGAGTCATTCTGTCACAATTTGTTATTGCTTTATTAGGAAGAAGTAGCATATTTCCTAATGAATGTCACAAATCGTGGATAATCCTATACGAATTCGGCATGGTAGTAGCTTGCACTCCTTGGGGCAAATTCGTTGTTTCGGAAAAGTCCTCCACTTCCTTTTGCATTTGCGCGACATAAACGCTACCGCCACAAGTACAAATTTTAAGTGCAATATAGATGGGGCTTCGAACAGCAGATCTTCTGATGTGATTATTTTACGGTAATTCCATTGTTTGCCCCAATAAATCAATAAGTATTTGCTTAACCAAAAACCAGAAAAATTAGTAGCAGTTCGCACCAAAATGGCAGGTGCGATCATGCGATTTTTGCAATTCCGCCCCCGAACGGTTATCTACTAATGATTTTCACTGTTTTGCACTTGGTCTGTACAAAAATAGTTGAAATGTTGAAAAATAGTTGAAAATTTCACGCATCGGTAAGTGAAAGCTGAATTTGAAACCACAAAGGGCGAATATCCTTCCAAAATTTCAATCTCCTAATTTTCTGGCTTTCGGAATGATCTTTGAGGCAAAACTTTTACGTGGTCGTACGTAAGACCTCGGCATAATCAGGGACTGAATTCGAGTTTGAGAAGCCCCTGCTTAGGCAGAAAACATCCTCCTGAAATTTTCATCCTCCTAGCTCTTCTGGCTCCCGTTATGACTTTTCACGCCAAGACTTCTACGGGGGTGTTGAAAATTTGCGGAGTCGTATGTGCGCAGGGATGCCACGCTGAAATTTCAGCTTTATAGCTTTTGCAGTTCACGAATAATTTTCCCACCAAAACTTTTACGGGACCGTACGCAGTATCCAGGCGTGTGTGAAAGCTGAATCTAAATTTGCGGGGGTCGTATGTTGATACGGGACACCGCCCTAAAATTTCAGGTTCTTAACTTTCGTGGTTTCTGAAAAAGCAATTTTCCCCGCCGAAATTTTCACAGAGCCGTAAGTGATATCTGGATGCGCGGGAAGACTAAATTTGACTTGCAAAGTCGAACTTGGGGCAGGGAGTCATTACCTTAAAATATCAGCCTCGTAGACTTGGTGGCTCCGAGATAACAACTTACCTGTCAAAACTTTTACGGGGCCGTAAGTGTTACCCGCGGGTACAGTGAGGCAGAATTTAAATTTGCGAGGCCACACGTAGGTGGGGAATATTCCCCTAAATTTTCAGCTTTCTAGCTTTTGTGGTTTCCGAGTTGAAAATTGCGGGAAAGTTTCTGCGGAAACACAGACAACCCGTGACAATAAGCATTTTGTCCTGCTGTTGCACAGCACAAAACGCATTAAAAACACTCAACACGACAAAGGACTCCCCACAATTCTCACATGCCAAAAAGACACAAACACAAAACGTTGACTATGAAAGACGGATCCCGTCTGCGCTGCGGCTACTGAAGTTTGTGTCTTGACCACACTGTGGCATTGCTGCACTATTGACAATACCGACGCAACAGTATGGTCTCACTAGTCCGGTCTTTCTCATATAGACAAATAAAGTGACTGGTGCGTGCTCCCTCAATTATTCGTGCCACTCCGGACAACATCATACTAACAGTTATTGTTAATGTTTTCACGATTCGTGTTAAATAACAAGTTTTATGCATTTCGCGAAATTCAGGAGACAGGGTGGACAGTGGCGAATGCTCTTACTGGTGCCAGTAACAGCCGCTTGCTTTGGCTCTGTGGTACTCACATCCTCAGCGTAATACCTGAGCTACTTTGTTTGCCACTTGAGCCTGACCTGGTCGAGCGAACTTTATTTGCTATTGAATCACTGGTCGCGAAACTACCAACTTACGTTCCCGTAATTGATAGTTATGAAATTTTCACAGCTGTGCATCATGTTATTCTGGGCGACTACTCAGATGATGATACTATAAAGGTTAGCAATGAAAATTAATTCCAGAAATACAATTTTACAAGCTTATGGGTACAAGACTCCGCCAGCAGAAACCCAGGCTGAGACTCACCAGGCTTGCCGGTGCGATCATGCGTTTTTGCACTAGATTCACAGGTCGATAATAGTAGAAATGATTCCTGCTGTAACCTAACACTTGGGCTCATACTGGCCGTGCTATAGCCCCTTTTTGCATACAGGAGAAAGGACGTCGGTTGGAATGAAGGTGGTGCGTTATAGAGCTGCATGAACGTCCAGGTACATGACTACCAGTTTTTTAAATGAAGCCCGGACGTTTCTTCGGCAAATGCTAGCTTTTTAAAAAAATGAAAAATGCAAATTTTTCGAAAAAATGCAAATTTCTAATTCAATAAAAGTGGAAATGTTGCTAGAGAGGCCGTTTGTCAAAAAATCCAAGTATGCAAAAGAACTGAGTGTTCATTTACATATTTATATGAAGGGCGGTCGTTCGCTACAAAACGCAATCGTTTCTGTTTTTCGAAAGAGTTGAGTGTTTCCCACGTCCACCTGCAAGGGCACTTGAAAGTAGAATATCCCAGGAAATTTTCAGCCTAGCACCTTACCCGATAAACGAAATATCCATTTCGCTACAAATGTCTTTGAAGTGCCCTAAGTCATGGCACAAATGCAAATCGGTACTCATTTTAGTTATACAATTTCCAATGTGAGAGAAAAAAAATGCTGATAAAATTTCAGCTACGGCAGGTTTTTGAGTTAGCACAGTACCAATTCGCAAACTTTAACGTGGTCGTA